ATTATTTCTGTAAACATTTCAAATTACGCTCTATCTATAAAAGTGTAATTTACGAGATGTGTATTATAGGATGTATAAGCATTTTTGACATTCGTGCATTGCATGTCCAAAAAAATTAGAGTTAATTTATATTACGTTGTGTACTGTCATATATTATCGTTGATCAGTATTTATTATTTGGAAATTCAGGAGCATCTATTGTTCAATGGGAACTGAAAAAGCGTTTTGTATCCGATTAAGATCACTGTATTCTTGGTACAGTGATAAAAGCACAGAATCACAGAATTGTAGGGGTTGGAAGGGACCTCCAGGTATCATCGTGTCCAACCCCCCTGCCAAAGCAGGTTCCCTACAGCAGGTCGCACAGGTAGGCAGGTTGATCCTGAAAGAATGTGTGGCACTGAATGAAGCTAACTGATCTGTTTAGCATTGCACATGTTAGTAATGCTATTTGACGTGCGGATTGGAGTTGAGAAACACACCTTTAAGGCAAATCAGTGGACGTGTCCAAATGACTGGATTGAAACCACGGGTGTGCTAGGGGATGAGATGGAGGGACCAGAACCCTCGGGTTTGTTCTTGAGGAGCATGAAGACAATGCAGCCTGCGTGTTTGGGAAAGGCTGTGTCGCTAAAGGAGCAGTGGGGTTTGGGTGGTACCCAAGTGTGGAGCTGGGTGTTGGACTCACTGCTCCTTGTGGGTTCCACCAGTGTGTTCTGTGTGGATGCTCATTCTCTTCCCTCCAGCAGTGCCCCTTGCTAGGCTACAAGGGTCCCAGTGCCAATCAGCTGTGCTTTCGATGTGCTCTGTGCTGGAAGCTCAGCGAGCTCAGAGGGTTCCGTCTCCGGATGCACAGATAGGTAAATGTGCATTGTGTTCCCAAGGGGAAGGCAAAATGTGTTTTTAGTTAGGTTGCATGGGGATTTAATTGAAAGGTTTAGGACAGTTTCTTAAAAGAGTAAATCACGCTTACGTGGCACAAAGATCTATTAAACAAAACAAAAATATTGTAGCACCTTTACTTTTGTATTTTGCTTGGTATAAATGGAAACTCAGATCAGGCTGATACGTATTGTCGGCTGATGATATAAATGCTGTTACTGTTTTTTAATTTTTTGCAATTTTAGTCCTTTTCAGCTTTTTGAAATTAAACAACGGGCAAAACAAAGGTCAGGTCATTCTGCACACACAACGCTGCTCTCAGTCTGCAAGCCTGCTCGGCCTCCTTCCCATGAATATTTGTATGAATTAAGCACCTGCTTAACTTAATTCACGTAAGTAGTTCCCTCAGAAGTCAGGAGGACAATTAAGTGCTTCAAATTAAGCACAATCTTAGCGTAAAACCAGAGTCTATGTAGAGGGTGGCCCTGCAGTCTGGCTGGCCTCCAAGGTGCTGGTGCTGCTGGGCACCACATCCTGATGGCTGCAAAGTGCCCAGGGTTATCCTGGGGAGGACAGCTGGGGCATTACCAGCATGACCTTCAGCTCTGTGACACTTTGCACATTGTATTCATGGAGAGCTACTGTTGTATTATGTGTTGCAGCAGTGATAGGTTTGGATAAGAATACTGTAATAGCAGTTTAAATGTGTTTTTTTGTGAGGTGGCAAGCTAATGATGTAGCAGTTAATTTGAATTTAGCAGACGTTTTAAATATAGGTTTCTCTTACAGAGACAAAAGTTGCAATTTAAAGCTCTTTGGTGGTCTAAAAACAGCTTAATTCTCTAGTAGCATGGTAATAAGTACTAATCCAGCTTATACAGTGATTGTAGTATGTCATGTTTGTGAAAGATTGCCTAACTCTGCTTTCTCTGGGTTTTATGTTAATTTTTTTAAATTAAACATAAAACCTTATAACATCTTTATGCTGAGATAAACTGTTCAATTTAACTTGTGCTCAAGCAGCAGCTGTCAGGAATTATCATGTTTGGAGCGTTCTTGCTATCACCTTGTGTCTCTACCTCCCGGATACACTCGGTGGGATGATAAAGCTCACCTTGTTAGGATTTATTACTTAAATAATAACCCGAGGTAAAATGAAAGTCAGTGTCACATAGAATGACAACTGACATATATTTATGTCTCACGTTACATTATAATAAACTTTCCCTTCTTCCCCTTGTAATAGGTGTTAAGTGGAAACCCACGGCAGCGTATCCTCCAGTGCCCTGCACGAGTCCATTAGCCACGTCCGCAGCTGCTCTGTGGGCACGTTCACAGTGACTTGGGCTGTCAGGTGCTATTTAGGCTCGCAAAGCTGGAGAAAGTGCTTTGTGCTGGTAGTTAGCAGCTATTATGCCAGCAAAGAAACAAAGAGAGGAGCATTCTGGTGCCCATTGAGTTCGGTTCTGGAAGCGAACCGAAGCGCTGAGAAGTGATGCAAGTGAATGAGGAAAGGTGTTTTCTAACCTGTTACCAATTCAACGCTTTATTTGCCGTAAGAAATGTAAACAGTGTCATTTCAGCTTCTAAATCAGAATTTTCTAGTAATTGCAACAGTTTTCTCTTGGCACTGATTTATGTATGAGCTGGGCAGTCCTAAGCGATCTGCTTGTTAATTCTTATCGCTTCTCATTTACACTGTGGAAAATTTAGGTCTGGCTCTCACATGCTTCCCAAGTTTTGCTCCTTTTTGCCTTAAAAGAAGCCTGCCTCTGGCTCTCTGCAATGGTGCTGTTGTATTCAATCACAGAATCACAGAATGGCCAGGGTTAGAAGGGACCTCAAGGATCACGAATCTCCAACCCTTCTGCCACATACAGGGCCACCGACCTCCACATTTAATGCTAAACCAGGCTGCCCAGGGCCCCATCCAACCTGGCCTTGAACACCTCCAAGGACATGGCATCCACAACCTCTCTGGGCAGCCTGTTCCAGTGCCTCACCAGTCTCTGGGTAAAGAATTTCCCCCTGATGTCCGATGTTCTGTGTATTCAATCACAGAATCACAGAATCCTTAGAGTTGGAAGGGACCTTTAAAAGTGATCTAGTCCAACTCAGCTTCCTTTGATTTGTCTGCAAGAATTACGTTCCTTTCCTGTGGATATAAACATCTTTATTCATATTGCTCTGCCTTTATCCACCTGAGTGGATTAGGATGCTGCAGAGCTGTGTGGCTGTGACCAGGCTTCAACCTCAGCTCCTGCTGTCTCATGGCCCTGACACCTACACCATGCTCTTCCCACCGTGGCATTTGTGTCCTGCTCTGTGCTGCTGCCCCTGCTTTCTGTCCCCATGTGCCATCTCTTCCTTTCCTTCCTCATTCAAACACAGCTGAGTTTATAGGCTCTCTCTTGCACCATTTCAGTTTTCTTCCCAGCTCATTGCAGAAAGAATTTCTGAGATACCTGTGGTATGAAAAAGAAAGGATAAGCCATGAGGCAGTCCAGCATTTTTCCAAGCAGCCAATAACCGTATTTTTGCAGTCTTATTGCATGTTAGGTGCATTGTACCTGCTGTAGGAAGCCTTCTCCCATCTGCTTGGAGCCTGGCCCCAGTCATGGTGTGCTCCATGGGCTGTCATTCCACATGGCAAACAAGTTGTGACTTACCTAACAAGTGCTTTCTTGGTCTTTGGGTGGCTCGTGGCAAAGCAGTGCTTGTGTCTTCATTGCTATTCTGTTTAACAGTCCCTTTAAAGTACCAAATATTTGATGAGCAAAGCAGTCACATTCATCTTTTACTTTGGTAAGCCTTTCAGATTAGCATTGATTCGCACTGATGAAGACGGATGCAGGATGAGTTCTCTAGGAAGTGTTTGTTCTCTACATGCAGATTACTTAGAGACAGTGTGGGTAGTAGCAAAGGTAACGTTATGGTACATATATGATGTGTGAGTGTGGATATTTGAGGGAATTCACAAGTTTTAAGTTTGATAGCCAGAGTTGGAAGGTTATAATGTTAATGATGCGAGCTCAGCTGTATTCTTGAACACTAAATCTATGTAAAAAGAGAAAAAAAAAATTGAAAAGATTTTAGAAAAATGAAGCATTTCACAAATCTTGAAATTCTTGAAATGGCAAATAGCCCCCCAAAATGTCAGAAACGTGCTACGTTAAGAAGTACTGCATTAAAGCTTAATGTTTAACGTGCAATAAAATACCTGATCCCTATACTTTTTTTTATCCTTAATGATGAGAAATTTATAACATGAGTGTCTGTGGTTCTCTAGAGTTTCAGGACTCAGTTGATTTGGAGGCTGTGCTGACCAAGGGACAGGAGGCACTCATATAATTGTGGAGAAATTATGGGAAATCTGCCACTGTTTTCAGCAGGGCCACAATTTGCTATTATGTATTTAAATAAGGCCATTTTCTGATAGCCTGTTAGGTTATACAAGGCTGAGATACCAGCTTGTTAGTGTTGTTTGTGCCTGCTTAATATACCTGATGGATGTGAGCAATGCTGTAGACTGTGGAATAGCAAGAGTGCTACGGCGATACTGGGGTGTGAGGATACAGACATTTCATATATGGGATACCTTAGAAAAATGAGAAAATAAAACATAGCAAAAGGGTGAAAAAAGAGACTACACTAGATAAGTGTACTGCATAAATCAAAAGGGTTTATGTCATAACACGAACATGTGCCATTCCTGCTCATATATTGAATTTCAGTAGTTGGTTGCATAAAGAAGTAAAGTGTAATGAAACTGGCAAGCAAAGTATTCCCTAGTCAGCCTTATCTTTGTTCCATTTGTCCTTCAGATACAGCTTTTCTTGCCTTTTTCAATAAAATCCATCCAGCTTTTTTATTTTGCATCTCTCTGTAACTGAGCTGGGAAGACCAATGAGATTCAGTGCTTTTCTAGTTGGGTTCTTAGCAGCTGCTTTTTAAGAGATCAAAACTTCGAATGCTGCTACATGGTATTAAGGCTTAGCTATTGATGTGTCCCTATAGGGGTTATGTTTTTCTTGGAGGGGAGAAGGGGAGGCGAAGGGTAAGGGGTGACCCCTGTGAGCATGCTCACAGGCAGTAAACACTGCTCTCCTTGTTTCCAGGATCCTCTTTGCAAGCTCTGTGCTTAACCTGGCTGAACTCGCTGCCCTGCGCCCTGACCTGGGCAAATTGAAAAAGGTCCTCTACTTCCATGAGAACCAATTGGCGTATCCTGTCCAGAAGTGCAAGGAAAGGGATTTCCAGTATGGATACAACCAGATTCTTTCATGGTATGTGTTTCTCACACCTCTCTGTGTTGTTTAATGTGTCCTTCTACGTGTCGATGCTCAGCGTTGCCAGCCCTGAGGAGTCCCCCTCCACTGAACTGAAGAGACTGTAGCAAGCAGAGGTACAAACAGCACCCCAAAGAGGAGCTGAGAAAAGTGTTCTGGCTAAAACCACATCCTCTATCCACTCATCTCAATGTATAAAAGAGCAGTGAAACCAGCACCAGTGGTGGCTGGAAGCCCTGCCCACAGCATGGGCATGGAACAAGGTAATCTTTAAGGTCCCTTCCAACCCGAGCTGTCCTGTGATTCTGATGGGCTACTTGGCATACCTGATAGTTGTGTGGTTTTGCCCCTATCTTGGCTGTCATGAGCGAGATGCTTTGTTTCATATCTGCTTAGCAAAGCCCAGCTAAGCACCTCCTGCTTGGCCATAGCTTTTACTGCATCCAACTGAAATTATAGAGAGGGTTTTAGGGAAATAAACAGAAATTAAAACGTAATGCTGCACTTTTCTAGTGAAGAGAGGGCAGTAAACATACCAGATAAATCCTTGTATTTTTTTCATCTGGTATTCAGAAATTGTGCAGTGCTAAAATACCCAGACATTTTAAAGGCTGCGGTCCTTTATTGTTGCTAAAAACAAATGTATTTCTTGAATCTAAGTTAATGAAAGAAGTTAATAACCACCACACTGAAAAGCTTTGTGGTTAGACTCTGTACATACCTAAGTGAAACAGCAAAACTGAGTCGTTCTGAGAACTGGAATAAATTGATTTGAATGATCTTTTCTTTCCTAACTGCTATTTGGAGAATTCTGAGGACCAGGGATTGAGCATTTGAAGGTGTAAGTTAAGCTTTTGTATCATTATAATGTAGGCCAGTTGATAGTCAAATTTCTCAGGGTACACTCTGGCCATCCTGCTGCTGCTACTGCTGCATTTGCACATGTTTCACTGCTTGAGCAGTGGAGTGGGAGAGGATAGTGAGCAATCCAATAAAGCTTTAGCAGCCATTTTCAGATTTTACACCATGAAGATGTCTTTTTGTGGCACTGAGGTAAGGAATATTTTTTTATGTATGTTTTGCTTTCTTACAGCAGTTATTTTTCTATTGTAAGCTGACAGACATTATCTTCAAAGCACACATTTTTAAAATCATAAAATTATTTTGCCTCACCTCCCCCTAAAAGCCTTCTATAGATGCTCCATTCCATTTCCTTCAGCCTCCAGTAGCACCTCTGTATAATTATGTAATTTCCATCTTTCATTTTTTGTTGCTGTATAAACCCCATTTTTAAGAGCAAATGAAAGCCATCTCCTCAGTGCAGTGTGTAACTACCCAGTGGTCATCTGCAAGGAAATGCCATCTTCCATCTTCCAAATCTGTTGGAAATACTAGAAACACGAAAATACATATTTCCAGATCTATCTTTATATCGGTATATTTCCAACTCTATCTTTCCATGCTGTTTTGCATAGATGTTTTGGAGAAAATTGAAAGTGGAGCACTTGGAATCTTCTTGAGTCATTAAGGGAGATTTTATTTTCTCCTTAATGATCCAGAAGTGTTGCGATGATACTGGTAATAAAGTCACACGTTTCAATGGTGGAATTCCTTTCCTTGTAGCTGACTGGGCTGCAAGGATGACAAGGGCATTCAGGCTTGCAGTGCTATGCACAGCCTCCAGGATGAAGCTGAACAGATGAGGCTCAGTATATGAGACAAAGAGAGGTGGAAATGTCTGGAGCCTTTGCTAGGTGCCAACCTTACCTCCATCAGCGCTGCATTTGCCAGGGCAGCCAAGGCTGTGTCAGAGCTTCCCATGCACAGTTCCAGATACTTCAGGGCCTTCAGGGACTCAGTAGCTTTTTACTGTCTCCTGACCAACTCTCAGTTAAGGAATATTTCTTAAGTTACTATTTCAGCTGCTTCTGAAATCTCTTGATCTGATTGATTTTAGAACACAGCGCTAAGGAGCAATACAACATATTAATGTACCAAACCTTTTTTTTCTTTTTATTTGATTCTGTGTACTATGTGGTATCTCCATTTTGTTTAGTGCGTGTACTTTTTGTGCACAGGTTAAAAAACAAAACCGTTAATCTTTGTTATCCCAGTCCCTGGTCCACTTGGCCAGTCAAAGTTAGGTTAACCAAAGGTAAGTTGTCATAGAATGGAATCACAGAATCACAGAATGGCCATGAGATGAAAAGGAGCACAGTGCTCATCCAGTTCCAACCCCTGCTGTGTGCAGGTCACCAACCAGCAGCCCAGGCTGCCCAGAGCCACATCCAGCCTGGCCTTGAATGCCTGCAGGGATGGGGCATCCACAGCCTCCTTGGGCAACCTGTTCCAGTGCCTCACCACCCTCTGTGTGAAAAACTTCCTCTGTATTAAGAACCTCCCCTGTTTCAGTTTGAAACCATTCTTCCTTGTCCTTTCACTATCCACCCATGTAAACAGATGTTGTCTTTCAGTACAAAGTGTTTTCTGTGAGGAGTCTTCTTCCAGGTTCTGCCAAAGACATATTGCAGTGCCCCTGATCTGTTTGTAGGGCTCTGGAAAAACAAGGATAATAATATTAGTCTTACCCATGTTATAAATGGAAGGTGAACTGTGGATAGAATGGGATCTGCTCCTTTAGGTTGATAATAATACATTGTTATTTGCTTTTAAAAAGTTCAAAAATAATGCAAAGTATAAAAACACGGGAATTGGAACATTTCTGATTAAGGTATGTATGCTACTTCTGGTTCACCTGAAAAGGCTAATATTAATTGGCATTTCCATTATACATTTTGTATATGAGAATGTGTATCCTGTTTTCATTGCATTTAAAATAGCTCAGCTCCTTTAGCAACAGCAGCGTGCTCATTAACCTTCACTGCTTTTTACAGTTTGGTTGCTGATATTGTGGTGTTCAACTCTGCTTTTAATATGGAATCATTTCTTACGTCCATTGGAAAATTTATGAAGCTGATTCCTGACCACAGACCTAAGGATTTGGAAAAAATAATCAGACCGAAGTGCCAAGTTCTTTATTTTCCAGTCAGGTTTCCTGATGTGAGCAGGTCAGTACATTTTCCACGTCATAAATTGCCTTCAGTCTGTCAAAACTACCTATTTATGGTGAAGCTTTAACTAATCAGTTACAGCGTTGTTAAAGTAAAGAGCTGGAAGATAGGCACTCTCCCTTAGTAAGTATATTTCAGCAATCAGAGGCTGCTGGGGCAGCATAGAAACCCTCATCGCTCGGTGTGAATAATTTCCCACTTGTTTTAGTTTTTAAAAAGTTGACTGTGCCTCAACTCCATCTGTTTGTTTGTACAGGGGAGGTCAAGGAGGAGAAAGAAATTCTAGAGAACACTAACAGCGATAAGGCTGTAGTCGAGAAGCTATATTTCCCTTGGTATGTTGTAGTGGGATTTTATTCCTTCCCCCCTCCCCTACCTCTCTTTTTATTGCTTCCCAGGTAGGTGAAAAGCGTTTCAGTAGCACGGAGCAGACTTGCAGATTTTGGCATTAGCTGCAGCTTGCAGTTGCTCTTCAGTCTTCCTCAGTTACTACGAAGGACGTTTTTTATTACCCTTGTTTCAGAGCCCATCCTGAAATTAGCAGCGGGTTATGTGGCTCAAAGGGAACATTCACCAGATCCCTTTCACTTTTGATTAAACCTGGCACAATTGTTTTTCCTATTATAAGGAACTTTCCTCCCACTGAACAGGAACTTTGCTTCGATGGGACCGATACTAAATAGAGATAGGTTTGATTCTGCAATTTGATTATACTCTTAAAAATGACTTGATGCTGGGTACGTGCTTTGTTGGAGTAAGGGTGGAAAGCAGCATCGTGACTGCAAGAGTCTGTGTTCTGATCTGCTGACAGTTCTGGTCACATGAGATGTTTGTCCTGACCTGCTTGTACTTACAGCCACTTCAAAGACTGAGTGTATGTTTGTGGCAGTTCGGGGTAGAGAGATTTTTAGTATCAGGCCATGCATGCTATTGATGTTGCAGAGCAAGGTTTGCATTTCAGTCACTAGGCAAACATATTCTAAAGGACTGATGCAAATCCTTTAAAAATCCGTGTCTGGCGTGAAGTCTTAAAGCTATGTGTTTGGCAAGCGTGTTAAAATCCTCCAGTGCTGCTTGGGGCCTTGTCTCTCAGGGTGGCAGAAGAGATCATTACCTGTACCTCTCTGCAAACCTACTATTGCTTCTTAGAGACCATGCCTTTAAAGTGAGGGAATGCAGTGGGTGTTTCACGTATTCAATACCGAACCATTGTAAAAGTGCCTCGTGGTTTTTGATGTACCTGGGAAAGTCTTGTGGCAATCCTCTGCATAACTCTGAAATTCTTTAGGTTTTGACCTTCAACTGCAGCCCATACGGACTATTTCTTTACAGGATCATGCTTTCAATGATGGTGAATGCAACTGTGACAGTTTTTTGGTTTTGTTGTTTTTTCTTTGTTTTGTTTTTGTTTTTTTTTAATTTAGACTGAATTGCTATAATGACAGAATGGAGATTGAGGAGAAAAAGGTTAAGAAAAATTGTGGCCAAGCTAAAATTTATAAAGCAAGCTCTTAGCCCAGAGTGTTTTTCAAGTTATTTTCAAATGGTAATTTGCTTTATCCAAACCAAACTCATACAGTGTAAGTAAGTGATTATTTGCATGACTGACAATCATTTCAGTGCCTGCAGTCTTTTTAAAATGCATAATTTTGCTGAGATGTTGGGGAAATATTTAAAAATTCTGAAGGCAAAATAAGCAGGGGTGGTTTTTTCTCTTTACTCTGACCTCTTTTATTTCGCGTGTGAATGTCAAAGGGTGTGTGTGTCTCAAATGGAACCTTCATGTGGACAGAAGTGATCGAAGAAATCATCCTCACGCTTGTGCTAGTGATCGTGTAAAGATTATTTTAGATCAGCACCGAGATTGTAGGGTAAAATACAAGGAGATACATCTGACCTTTGATCAAAAAACTGTGTTAAAAGAGCATGTCAAACAAGTAAATACTGTCATGTGTTTACCTGTTAATGTGATTACTGTGGATGGTGGCTGTGCAAACTGACACAAGCAGTGCAGTGAATGATCGCATCAGGACGAAGGAAAATGGCTAAGGAGAGATGTAGCATTACACATACACGTAATGTGTAATTAAATATTTCAGATGGGCATCTAATCACTGCTTTTCTCATACTTACAAGAAGTTACCAATGCATTTTGTGAAGAGAATTATTTTATGAAAAACATTTGTCATAGGGGCACCTCTTGTTGTTCCCTGAGCAAACACAGACAGTGGTCCTTATCTGGCATGAGAGGAGATGAAAAGATTTGAGGATTCAGCAGAGTAAGCAATGTGTGGAGCTAATCCTCCCATTTTCTGGCTCTGACAATGACTAGCTTCCATACTGGACCCTGTGGTACCACAGCTGTTCCATATGGATTCATCCTCCCTCATTTCAGATTTTAAATTCTCCTTTATATATGTTCTGATATACATTTATTATGTAGAAATATATATTACCAGACTTCTAAGCTTATAAACAAATAACATTCCAAGTTTATGTCACTTCATAGTGCATAGGTATTGCAAGAGATGTACACCCATAGCTGATCTTACATGCCATATGTGCTGTGCATCAGGCCTTTTTTCTTCAACATCACAGTGAATTAAATATGTTGTAATTCACACTTACGTTGTCGTTTATTAAATTTCAATTTATTTTCTATTATAATGTAATAAAAAGGAATTTTTTTTTCCTATAGGATCGATAAAATCTATTTTGATATAATGTATTTTTATTTGTGCACACAGAAACTACAATCCGAGAGCAAAACTCCCTTTCTAATGATGTTATCCTTGGCAGCTGCCTCTCATTCTGCCAGCAAGCCCTGCTGGAACACCTCTGCTGGTATTTTGAGTGCATTCTCTCATTCTGTCTGCATCCATTCCATCCCTGGTAGTTGGCAAAGCTGGGTCAGGTTGGGTGCTCCATGCAATTCGTTCCAATGCAAATTGTAAGACAGATCTTAGTTATTATCACTAGTCCCCTAATTGTGGTATATCTTTACCATCACCACGATGCGGTAGAAAAGGGAGATACTTTTATAAGCAAGAATGAATTAATGTTCCTAAGAGCTCAACACGCAGATTGGATTAAAGTGGGCTAATATAAAAGAAACATGAGGAGCACATGGGATGACAGCAGAAGATGGCAGTGGTTTCTTTTAAGTGGAACTTGTTAGCTGGTGTCTCAAGCTGTCTGCATTACGCATTTAGGAGCAGAATTAAACATTTTAGAATGTTGTTTCTTAATTTGCTTTTATAACATAGTACAGTTAACAGGACGTTTTCAACCATTTGATTTTATATTTGTTAGCTATAGTGTAAGAGAGACAGGATTTTGCGATTTTGAGAATGCTGTATGAACAGTCAAGGGAGCTTCTGACTAAACACAGGTTTCTAAATGGCACTGACAGTATCTCTTGTAAAGAAACATCACTGTCATGTGGGGAGGAGCCTGTTTTGGGGAAAGAAAGCAATAATTCTTGTGACTTGCATCACTGGGATGAGGCTTGCAGGGCTGAAGCTGAGACCTCTGTTTAGATAACTAAGAGCTTGATAACTAACTCACCCTTCTTCTGTAATTAACACCACACAGTAGCTTTGCAGTCATGGAAAATAGTAATGCCCACAACCAGGGGCAGACCTGAATGTCCAAACACAAACTATGGACAGGAACTGGAGATGTGGCTGTGTGGCACCAAGAGGTGCTTTGCAGTGGTACCCAAGTGAGCTCTCACTAACAGTCTTGTGTGTTGGAAGCAATATGCCTTAGAAATGCAGTTGTTGGCTAATTAGCTTTCCATGCAGAAGCATTTATTAGCTTAGGTGGAGTATGATGCTAATGATAGTGATTCTGGCTTTGAGGCTACCTGCTGCACTTAGAGGTGGCTTGGGCATCTCCATGGTGCTCTCTGGTAGTCATAGCCTCCCTGTCACCACAGTTTATGGGTAATTAGCATAATTAGATAACTCCAATAGCCTGCTCCTACCTTGGGGCTTGCTGCTGAAGAACTAGATGGTGGAAATTGCTCCACTGAATGGCTTTCCTCCTCACCTGCTTCAAGCAGAGTTTGAGGGCTGGCGTTGGCAGGCAGGAGGGATGCTCATAAGATCTGGGACATGACACCTATTGGGAGGGAAGTACAGTGTTGGCTTAGAAAGGCACAACGTGGAGGATTTTAGCTGAAAATCAGGTGAATGGGATGAAGGGAGGCTCGAGCATCCCCAGTCACTGGTGCTTCCTTCAGTACTCGCATTCTGTGCCTCCAGGGGATGATGCCAGAGTTCCTATTCTAGCCCTAGGGGGTATCCATTGCCCCAGAGCACCCCATTGCTTACAATTCAGGAGCCAAATAGATGAGTTGTCCCCACAGTTCTCCAGCAGCAGAGCAACTGTGCCCTCCTAAAGGAGAGCCTGGCTGGATTGTCTGCTGGGATGTATTTATTTTGCAAAACTTTCTAAAAAAAACTCATTTCTTTTTATCTGTTCAGAGGCAGAAATAATTTTACTGACTCTCTTTTATCTGTCGGATAGGTATTCAACTCAATGCTGCCATAATAACCATTTAGTCCCACAATAGCTCATAAGGATACTTAAGCAGAATTCTCTGTGCAACCTAGTTTTTTATTATGTTGGGTACTGCTCATGTTGCATACAACACATTCCCATAAAACTTGCATTTTGTATTTACAGAGAAATTTCTCTGGAGAGTTAAGGTCTTGTAAAACATTCTTGTTCTACAGCATGAACGAATTATTATACTCTGGGGCATTAAAAGTGAAGTGTACTGAAGAAAAGAATTTTTTCATTAAAATGCAGTTTATATTGATAAAACAGATTACTAGCATTTGATGAAATGTGAAACTTGGATCTACCCGTATCACTAAATCGCCAGTAGGTTTATTTTGGCAAGAAGAATAGTATATAATGTATATCAGGACCAATCATTATACAGTACCTGTTAGGTTTCTATTAGATTAAATTGTCTTTCACTAAAG